AATTGTTGTGTTTTTGTTACCCCCAGAAGGAACGGCGCTTTTATCCTACAGACGCAGCAAGGTCCGAATCCTGCGCAGGGTCGCCATGTTGGAACTAGCCATGTTCTACAGTAGCTCCAGAACCGGACAATTGCATTTTTGCCGATTTTTTCCCCTAGGTCCTAAATACAAACGAGTGGTATTCAGATTTGTTGCAATCTGCAACATCCACCCACTTAGATGCCAAATTAAATCGCAACAACACTAGTCCTTCATTAACTATATGTTAATTTAGATTTGTATGTTTTCAGTGGTGTTGACTGGACGACATGATATCCTAAATGTGGGTTTTGATGAAGGTCCTAATGGCTGGTGAATATACATAACTGGGCTCAAAAAGAACAATACAGTTCATATATCAACTCTCGGAATTGCAATTCAAACATCACCCCAATGTAATGGTGACTTTACTTCTAAACTTCCCCCAGATTTTGGTGTGTATAGGGTCATTGTATTCGAGCATATTAACCGACACAATGCTTGAGTTGCATAAACTTGATTTAGCTTTTTTATGTGCATCCGAGTTATTGCAGGAAGGTTAAACTACCTTTACGCTTACATTCGGTTTATAAACCATCAACACACACTTCAAATCCATGGCTTTCCCTCCAAATAAAAGAAGAGCAGATTCAATATTTTTTCCATACTTTTATTATGAGCACTGTATTGCATCAAACCAACCCAAAGAACAGAGGAAAGCAAGAAGAATCAGGTAAACAAAAGCAGGGGGGCCCCAGTGAAAAAAACACATACAAACATGCGCCTGTGGCCTAACTGTAGCCTGTAGTGGACTGTAACCCCTGACTGGCCGACGATTTTAATATCTCTGTCATGGTCGCAAAGGTGTTTTTTCAATTTCTCAATGTGAGAGCTGTAACATTCGATTTTCTCTGTAAAAATCTCCATTTTGGTCCCCGCAGAATGTGACAGCTGGCAACATCAGTCTACCATGTAGGGGGGGGGGGGGTCTCTGTATCATGCAGGGCTCTTTCTCATGCTTAAATCAGGCCTCGCCTCAGGCATGCACACAATATACGCAAG